ACCACCACTACCACAAAGGCCCTACGTCCATATCTCCTTATCCACAACCACATAAATGTATTGTCACCACGACCCAACCAAGTCGCTATACCCACACTTACACGACCACACCAAACTACCACCACACCACCAAACAACCTCTAAACCACACCCCAACAACCACTGAATTACTAACAGTAATTTAGTAATTACCCCCCCCCCCCCTCCTTCTCTCTCTCTCTCTCTCTCTCTCGTAATAAATAATAGAACAGTTAACACTTTCTCACAGAAAACGTGAAGTACTAATTAATAAACTGTTGGAACTCCATTCTTTTGTGGCCTTAAATCGGTGTTTGGGTCCCGCTGGAAATGTATGTGGCGTAAATGTCTCTCAGGGCGGCCTGTGAATAGATCATTTGCATACAAGTGGAGTTTATATGCTCCTGGGCAGAACAAACTATGCTCCGGTCGGCTTCCTTGCCTCCACCCATGCCCGGCTCGTCTTGGTGAGTGGGCCCTGTGTTCAACCCGTTTTCCTTAATGAGGTAATTCCTCTTCCATTTCCCCTCTGATGCCTATTCATTTTTGTCTCATACAGGTGGTTTGTTGTTAGTGTTAGTCTGTCGATTGTTCGCGTGTTTCTCGTTATTTTTGGTATGTGAGTTTGTTTTTGTGTCTGTGAGAGTGGTCAATGACAGTAAACAAACCCAGTGTGGTTATTGTCTACGATTCTCTCTCTCTCTCTCTCTCTCTCTCTCTCTCTCTCTCTCTCTCTCTCTCTCTCTCTCTCTCTCTCTCTCTCTCTCTCTCTCTCTCTCTCTCTCTCTCTCTCACACACACACTCTCTCTGTATCTCTTTCTCTCTGTCTGTCTGTCTCTCTCTCTCTCGTCTTATATGTATTATACCTAGTAGGCCAAGTTAACTAACAAGCTGAATTTTTCTGAAATTTTATATTCTCCCCCAAAAAATTATATGAAATGATAATGCTTTCCATTACAGTATATGATTAGATTTTTTTAGAGTTAAAATTAACATGTGATCAAACCTAACATAACCAGAGTTATGCTTTCAGTTTTATATACCTGCATTTGGGTGAGGTGATATGTTGCAACAGTTTTTGGATGAGGTGAAAACTTTCAACACAACACAGAACACGAAATAATGGGTATAATATTGGGTAAGTTAAAGGGAAGAATGAAAGTAACTGCAAAGGGCCTATTGGCCCATAATTCTTGATACTGGTGCGGAATCTTGAAGTGGGTAGAATATAGTTGTGCATTAATTGGCTGTTGATTGCTGGTGTTGACTTCTTGATGTGTAGTGCCTCGCAGATGTCAAGCCGCCTGCTATCGCTGTATCTATCGATGATTTCTGTGTTCTTTGTTAACAAACACAGAAATCACAGAAATACAGAAATACAGAAACAGAAGATTGATTGATGAAGATTAAGCCACCCAAAAGGTGGCACGGGCATGAATAGCCCGTAAGTGGTGGCCCTTTTGAGCCATTACCAGTATCAAAAGCTGATACTGGAGATCTGTGGAGGTGCGAATGCACCCTGCATGACGGGAGATGTCTCCTTTGTGAATGTGTTAAGATGAAGATGAAGCCACCCAAAAGGTAGCACGGGCATGAATAGCTCGTAAGTGGTGGCCCTTTTGAGCCATTACCAGTATCAATAGATGATACTGGAGATCTGTGGAGGCGCGACTGCACCCTGCGTGACGGGAGATGTCTCCCGTGAGAAACAGAAATAAAAATGAGTTTTGGAGAACTCCTCTTTCAGCTAAGCCCTCATGCTAAAAAAAATAGTTAGAGGGATAGAAGCCCTAAATCAGAAGATAGTAAATACAGAATATGCGGTCATATTGAATGAGTATATATATATATATATATATATATATATATATATATATATATATATATATATATATATATATATATATGTCGTACCTAGTAGCCAGAATGCACTTCTCAGACTACTATGCAAGGCCCGATTTGCCTAATAAGCAAGTTTTCATGAATTAATTGTTTTTTTCGACTACCTAACCTACCTAACTTAACCTAACCTAACTTTTTCAGCTACCTACCCTAACCTAATCTATAGAGATAGGTTAGGTTAGGTTAGGTAGGGTTGGTTAGGTTCGGTCATATAACTACGTTAATTTTAACTCCAATAAAAAAAATTGACCTCATACATAATGAAATGGGAAGCTTTATCATTTCATGAGAAAAAAATTAGAGAAAATATATTAATTCAGGAAAACTCGGATTATTAGGCAAATCGGGCCTTGCATAGTAGGCTGAGAAGTGCGTTCTGGCTACTAGGTACGACATATATATATATATATATATATATATATATATATATATATATATATATATATATATATATATATATATATATATATATATATATATATATACAGTTCTATAAAGTATACTTTATTCCTGAACATTGTCCAGGAAAAAAGAAACACTGAGTATATACACTGAGAAGCTGGCCTCAACCAGGTGAGTGTGAGTACACCTCTGTGTTATGTTGTTGTTCTTCTACTAGCACCAACCACCACCCCTGGCACTACTAGCACCAACCACCACCCTGACACTGACAGGGAGGGTAAGGGGGGGGGGCGACACCCATTACACTGGCGGCGAAGTCACTCAAGCGCAAAGTCCAGATAACTCAACATGCTGCCACCCGTCCCACCCGTCCCGCCTGTACTACCCGTCCCACCTGCCCCACCCGTCCCGCCAGTCCCGCCTGTACTACCCGTCCCACCCGTCCCGCCTGTACCACCCGTCCCACCCGTCCCACCTGTACCACCCGTCCCGCCTGTACCACCCGTCCCACCTGTACCACCCGTCCCGCCTGTACCACCCGTCCCACCTGTACCACCCGTCCCGCCTGTCCCGCCTGTACTACCCGTCCCGCCTGTACTACCCGTCCCACCCGTCCCGCCCGTCCCGCCTGTACCACCCGTCCCACCTGTACCACCCGTCCCGCCTGTACCACCCGTCCCACCTGTACCACCCGTCCCACCTGTACCACCCGTCCCGCCTGCCCCACCTGCCCCACCCGTCCCGCCTGTCCCGCCTGTACTACCCGTCCCGCCTGTCCCGCCTGTACTACCCGTCCCACCTGTCCCGCCTGCCCCACCCGTCCCGCCAGTCCCGCCTGTACTACCCGTCCCACCCGTCCCGCCTGTACCACCCGTCCCCCTGTACCACCCGTCCCACCCGTCCCGCCTGTACCACCCGTCCCACCTGTCCCACCCGTCCCACCCGTCCCGCCTGTACCACCCGTCCCACCTGTACCACCCGTCCCGCCTGTCCCACCTGCCCCCCCCGTCCCGCCTGTCCCGCCTGTACTACCCGTCCCACCCGTCCCGCCTGTCCCACCTGCCCCACCCGTCCCGCCAGTCCCGCCTGTACTACCCGTCCCACCCGTCCCGCCCGTCCCGCCTGTACCACCCGTCCCACCCGTCCCGCCTGTACCACCCGTCCCACCTGTACCACCCGTCCCCCCCGTCCCGCCTGTACCACCCGTCCCACCCGTCCCGCCTGTCCCGCCTGTACTACCCGTCCCGCCTGTCCCGCCTGTACTACCCGTCCCACCTGTACCACCCGTCCCACCTGTCCCACCTGCCCCACCCGTCCCGCCTGTACCACCCGTCCCACCTGTCCCACCCGTCCCACCTGTACCGCCCGTCCCGCCTGTACCACCCGTCCCACCCGTCCCGCCTGTACCACCCGTCCCGCCTGTACCACCCGTCCCACCCGTCCCGCCTATACCACCCGTCCCGCCTGTACTACCCGTCCCACCTGTCCCACCCGTCCCACCTGTACCGCCCGTCCCGCCTGTACCACCCTCCCACCCGTCCCGCCTATACCACCCGTCCCGCCTGTACTACCCGTCCCACCCGTCCCGCCTGTCCCACCTGTACTACCCGTCCCACCCGTCGCATCATTTCATCACTCTTCCCATCGCCCCGTTCCATCCGTCGCCCCGTTCCATCCGTCGCCCCGTTCCATCCATCCCCCCATTCCATCCGTTGCCCCGTTCCATCCATCCCCCCATTTCATCCGTCCCCCTGTTCCATCCGTCCCCCTGTTCCATCCGTCGCCCCGTTACATCCGTCGTCCCGTTCCATCCGTCGTCCCGTTCCATCCGTCGCCCCGTTACATCCGTCGTCCCGTTCCATCCGTCGTCCCGTTCCATCCGTCGCCCCGTTCCATCCGTCGTCCCGTTCCATCCGTCGCCCCGTTCCATCCGATGTCCCGTTTCATGAGTCCCCCTGTTCCATGCATTCCCCCAGTTCGATGCGTCGCACTGTTCCATGCGTCCTACCATTACATGCGTCCCACTGTTCCATGCGTCCTACCATTACATGCGTCCCACCGTTCCATGCGTCCCACTGTTCCATGCGTCCCACCGTCACATGCGTCCCACTGTTCCATGTGCCCTACCATTACATGCGTCCCACTGTTCCATGCGTCCTACCATAATATGCGTCCCACCGTTCCATGCGTCCCGCCGTTCCATGCGTCCCACCGTCACGTGCGTCTTGCCGTTCCATGCGTCCTACCGTTCCATGCGTCCCACTGTTCCATGCGTCCCACCGTCACATGCGTCCCACTGTTCCATGCGTCCCACCGTTCCATGCGTCCCACTGTTCCATGCGTCCCACCGTCACATGCGTCCCACCGTTCCATGTGTCCCACTGCCACATGCGTCCCACTGTTCCATGCTTCCTACCATCACATGCGTCCCACCGTTCCATGCGTCCCGCCGTTCCATGCGTCCTACCGTCACGTGCGTGCCGCCGTTCCATGCGTCCTACCGTCACATGCGTCCCACCGTTCCATGCGTCCCGCCGTTCCATGCGTCCTACCGTCACGTGCGTCCCGCCGTTCCATGCGTCCCACCGTCAAATGCGTACCACTGTTCCATGCGTCCCACCGTCAAATGCGTCCCACTGTTCCTTGCGTCCCACCATCACATGCGTCCCACTGTTCC